AAACCCTGTAATCCCTATGTAACCCCTAATAAGGGTTGAAAGGGTTTTGGAGTTGTAGGTTTAGGGTTCAGGGTTTCGGGTTTAGGGTGTAGGGTATAAGGTTCAGGGTTTAGGGTGACAAACGTAGATCTGTAATTTTGTAGAGACTAGGGCTGGCCCTTTCTGTCATTGACAGTTAGTTTCAGAACGGGTGTCAGAGCGCTTTAGAAACACAGAGCAAAAGGTCAGCAAGGAAGTGCAACTTCCTAAACTCTAAACCATTAAAGCCTTAGAAGCCTTAAACCATGAACCTTGAACCCGGAGCCCAACAGCAGCCCAGGAAAGAAGAACATCTCTGCGGCCATCCGGACCGCGGTGAACGGGTGGATTCCAAACGTTTTGGAGAGGGCTTGGGGGTTTTCAGGGTTTTGGGTTTAGGCTCTTTGCAACTTGCGACCTGTGCATTCAATGCAAAAGGCACGTCACGCTATATTAGACAAGCCGTGTAGGATTAGATCATCCGTCTCAATTCCTGACAAGCTGTGCGAGGATGTTGATGAAAGCTGTAACTGAGCCTCCTATACCTTGAACCCTAGACCCAAAACTCCAAATCCTAAACACCAAAACCCAAATGCTAAACCCCTAAACCGTCCATCCTAAACCCTTAACCTTAAAACCTTAAACCCTTGGATTCAAGGTAAAACTAACCCTAAGCCCCAGACCTAAACTGTGGGAGGATGCTGATGGAAGCTGCTGGGTTGCAATTAAGGAACTTGCGCTAAGTTACGATATTATTGAACTTAATTAGGGTTTGGGGTATAGGGTTCAGGGTTTACGTAGGGTTATTTTCCCCTTATAATGGAGAATCAAATGGACAAGAACCTGAAAAATGAAATGGAAGCTGGGGCAATACAGGGATTCAGGGAACTTAAATTGAGCTACAATATTGCGGAAGCCCGATCAATTACCACATATACCGTATTATATACTTATTCTGGCAGCTTAATATAAGTTCCTAAGCCCTAAACCCTATGTAACCCCTGTAAACCTATATAAGCCATGTAACCCTCTATAGTCCTGATATCCTTATATGGTCCCTGTATACTCAATTTAAAGGTTGATTAACAGCAGCCCAGGCTGTTGACGATACGTCGCAGGGGAGCCGGACACCCTCCCGCCCAGCCTCAGAGATCGTTCCGCGGCAGGCGACCGGACAGGATGGGTTTGGGGATTGGATTTAGGGTTTAGGGTTTTTAGGTTTCAGGGTCTAGGGTTTAGGTTAGGGAAGCATCCCGCAGATTTCTACAGGCCCTGTGGTTGGCGACGGGGTCATTTTGATCCACCGACCTCCACGCAAGATTGTATCCGACTCGCTGAGTTGACCCTAAGGAAATTTACCGTGGGTAGTTTCCACCGTATAAGCCTTACATGAGCTATAGTCTAAACTCCTAGTATACCCCTTAATACGCCCTATAATGGTCCCGTATATAATACTTTATATATCCCCTTTAAGGAGTTCAGACTACAGCTCATATAGGCCTTATAGACTCCTGGCTCCCCTTAAACGCCTTTCAGAAGCCTTATGCAAGGATGCCCACCTGGTCACTCCCCACCTGAAAGTTCCTTTAACTTGAAGCCCTGTGCATAGAGTTTAGGGTTTAGGGTTCTCCCTTTGTGTAGAAGGTGCAGCATCTGGGAGTGTGAGTGAGAGAGTTCAAAGCTCATGCAAGCCGGGGTTGCTCTCACAGCATGATCAAGCGCCTTCTGAAGCCCTAAACCCTACAAGGGGAGGAGGAGGGGGAGTTGCAGCGTGCTCTCGGGGCTGGAGGTCATTACGTTTTGGGCATGGGCGCTCTGATAACCAGATGCGCTTGAGCACAGACGTTGTGATGCTTCGGGCGTGGATGGTCTGGTCACCGTACTTATGCTGCTCTCCGGGATGGACTTTACTCTGGTTTTGGACTTCGATAGCTGCATCTATCATGACGGTGCCTAGGTCTACTATGTAGCAGTAGCAGTCGCCGCAGCAGCAGCAGCAGCAGCAGCAGCAGCATCTAGCACCAGCATCTAGCACAAGTAGCAATAACATTTGCATGGTTAACAGCTCTAGCATTCGTATCTGTTTTCGCTGCTTTCGCTGTTATTGTCGGCGTTGGACCTGGTTATCATTTACGTGCTGGGGGGTTGGTGGGGGGGCCGTGCGGGGAGCCACGGGGGCTGATCTTGCGAGTCCGAAAAACCAAAACCAAAAAAACGACATTTTGCTAGTTGTCTAACTGCGCAGCCTCCGTGCCAATGACCCCATCACCATCTCAACAGCGTTAGTGCAGTAATGGAGTCGGATAGAAGTCAAACAATTCGACATAGTCTTCAAAAACAGTAAGTTATAGTAACAGAAAGAAAAGTCGTAATCGTGAGAGTTATGGTATCAAGTAATTGTCATATCTTTCATAGTGGTAATAGGCAGTATTTGATGGATGCTGCATTGGGCAGTTGGCTGCGGTGGAAGACGAGCGGAAGTGGCAAACGAGAGATCCGTGCCCGCGCCGCGACCCCCCGCGATAATTGAACCGGCCGGGCTTCATGGTGCTAACAAACCCTCTAGAGATCATATAGCTCTTAAGCTTAAGCGCGTGGAGAAACGGAGAGTTCTTTTTGCTTGCTTGGCTTGCCGCATTCCAGGGCCTTTAGGGCACGTGGGCCCGGCCTGCCTCCCAAAAACCTCGCATGGCTTGAACTTGGAGGTCCTGCTTGCAGTGGCTTCGGGTGGCTCGCTTGTGCACCATTGCTCTCTTCCCGTGTCTTTGCCGTCGCTTGACGCCCTGGCCTTGATGATGCAGCTGCTGGGCCTCGCACAACGTGCGTTTCGTGGCGGAGGGCTCCTTCAGGGCTAGCTATCCTACTTGACCTGGAACTACCCTTCTTTGACATGCTGAAGCAGCTCGCCGTCGCCTTGACGGCGGCTGTGTGCGGAACTTTCTCGTTCTCATGCTGTTCTTGCGCAGACTGCCCTCTCTCGTCAGCTGCCTTTGTACTCGTTTTAGAGTTCTTCCTTGTTGTCTTCGTGCTCGCTCGCCTGCCCGTCTATATCACGGGCCTGAAAACCACATTCATGTCTGCGACAGCATGGCTGCCGTCGCCTTGCCAGGTCTTTCGCGGCCCCGCGGACAGTCCCAGCCTGGCGGCTAAACTGACTCCAGCTTCCCTGGTAGCACAAAAAGTTTGTGTGCAGAACGCTTGCCTCTCTTGCGTTTATTGGCTTTTTCTTTCTTGTGTTTCTCGGAGCCTGCCCAAGGTTCTTGGCTGTTGCAGCTACTTCTTCCCTCTGCTTGTTTGCGAGCTCACGAGCTCGCGCTGCTTCGCGACGTTGCTCGTAATGTTTGTGCGCACCGCTCGCACGGCTTGCTTCTCTCGCGAGCGACCTGAACGGAAACCCTGGCACACGTGGAGTGCGCCGCTACATTGCAAAATCGCTCCGCTCGCCTGCCCGGTTTTGTGCTGGCCTGAACTGAACATCACCCCCGCCTTTGGGATTCCTTTTGTCATCCATCGACCTCTCTCGTGGCAAGTTTCTCCAAGCTTAGACCAGCAACCCTTGAAACACAGACTTGGGTGGTCTTGGGGTGGGATTCGGCCTTCGCGCGGCGCGCCACCCACGATCCCCCTAAAGCCCAAGGCCCTAAACCCTAAACATCCTTAACCCTCGTACAGTTTGCTGAGAGTTGGAGCAGCGCTTCAGAAGAACAGGCAGCTCTAGGCTTTGCATTCCCTACTATAGTAGTTTCCAATTTCTTTTTCATTATCATTATACAATCCCATACATTATTATCATTATTATTATTAGTGCTAGTATTATTACTATGATTCGGTGCAAGGGTTTATCCGTCGGAGAGCCTTCTTAGCTAGCTCTTTCAAAGGTGGACTCCTCCAGGAAACCCAATCAGGGTTTAGGGTAAAGGGTTTTGGGGTTTCTTAGGGTTTAGGCCTTAGGGTTGAGAGGGAGTAGTCGGTTTGCCCCAACGGCACTCCTTGCAATAAAGATCTGAAAGTGGCATCATGTTGGAATGTGTGAGGTTATTCCGTACAAGGAAGATGATAAAATCAGCTTCAGACGTTGGCGTATCGCAACGCACCGTGAGTGGACTAGGACTTTCCACTTAAAGCGGCATCCCCATGCGCGAAGAGGCCACGGGCTACACCACGGGCTAGGGGCTCTGCCCACTCGGTAGATTGGTATGGCTACGCACTTGCTTCTTTGGAAATCGCAACGTCTGAAATGCAGAATCAGGGCCCAGCTTCAGTGTACTCACTTGGATGGCGTACCTGGTTCTATCCGGATCCAATCCTTTTCTGCCAGGCTCCGACAAGGCCATGGATCAAACCTAGCGTGGGGTGAGCTAAGGGATGGATGTTAGTCATTTGAGATGCGCAAAAACCCTTTCGTGTGGCTCGGCTGGCTCAAGCTTCCGCCCGGGGCGCATGGGGCGTTTGCCCGCGCCCAAAACGAAGTTGAAGCCCGTGCAGCGCCCAGGGCCTTGCAATCACAAAAACAAAATCATCTGAGTAGGATCTTCGGTATTCATGGCATGGCACGACTTGGGAAGAAAGTAGGTCTAAGTGCTTGTCCCCCAGGCATCATGGCTGCGGCGTCAGAGGAGACGCCGCTGTTGGCCAAAAAGCCTGATGGAGAGGCGGTTCAGTGATTTATTTGGGTTGAGGGCTGCGAACGTCCTGCCCTCCTGCTAAGCCTTACTGTTAGTCGCACTTCACAGCATTCCTGCAGGAAGGAGTTTGTATTGAGTGATGTCAAGTGCTTCTGGCATTGTCAGGAAAATTTCGACTCCATGAACTATGATGCTCGCAAATTGGTGACCTTTGACGCTTGACTGCAGCTATAGTCAGCTAGGACCGTGACTTCTCGCCCTTATCAGTGAAGCCGTGTTCTAGTGGGAGCTCGAATCCTTCAGGAAGTCTTTCGGAATTTCAGCGGGACTGTGTGGACAAAGCCATCTTTGTGGAAGATGATGGGCATCTTGCTGCTGATCGCATTGTGTGTTGCATCAACTGTTGCCCTTGTGGTGAGCGACCCGGCCAAACTGGATGTGGGCCGCTTCCAACGAATTAGTACTTTCTTGGAGGTGGTTGTAGGCCTGCTCCTCGGCTTCTTCCTCTCAAGCTCTGTGCAACGATGGTACAACTGCACGAATGGTTTCTTGGAGCTATTTGATGCAATTCGCTCGCTCCACATGCAGCTGAATGCGCTGGGTGTTCCGAAAGAGCGGGTTCGTCTGTGCCTGCGGTACTGTGTGGTCTCTGCCCATTGCCTGGACAACGACCTCATCGCCGCTGCGATGTCGCCGGAGGACCGTGCTGCCTTCCTCCAGGATCAGTGGGAAACCATAGCGACAGATGCCGAGGATGGGAGTGTCTTTACGGACAAGTCCAAGAGCTTCGCAACTCTACTTGCCAACGAGCGAGAGATCCTTGCAAAGATCGATGACCCAGCACAGACGCTGTGGGTGTGGGTCACATCGCTGCTCACCAGGATGTCAGCAGATGGGGAGATACCTCCGATTCCCACGCCCACCTATGGCCGCATCATAACTATCGCTGAGCAAGCCTACGGTGGCATTCGTACAGTTCGGGCCTCCATCCGTGTACAGCCTCCGTTTGTGCATGTGCAGATGATGGCCGCGCTGGTGCTAGTCAACAACATCATCAATGCAGTGAGCTTTGGTATGGGTGCTGGCGTCACGGTCAGCATGTGCTTGGCACGGTACCACGTGGGTCCACACACCAGCAGCACGCCAGGCCTGGCGTGTTTTGGCGTTTGTTTTTTTTTCACATTGCTGCACGTCGTCGCGCTTGCTTCATTTGCTCCCCTTGGAGCTGGAATGGCACAGGTTCCGAGGACGTTTCCCACAGTCTCCAATACTTGGTTGTCAGCTTGATCTTGTCGACTGTGGGACCCTTCTTGTACCAGGCGCGTTTTTGCGCGATCATGGAAGTGCAGTGCATGCCCTAAATTTCCAGAATCCTGTCTTTCTCTATCTGATGCCTGGAGGCCCTGCTTGAGGTGGCCGTTTGCATCGCCCAGCCCTTCACGGCAGCGGGTCACGATGCCAAGTCTCCGGGAAGGATCCCGACAGAAAAGCTTCTGCAGCTGCAGATTCATTAGCTGTAGCTC